TTTTCTACAAGCAAGAAGCTCGGTGTGCAACAGCACCATAACCGACAAGCAATTTGCGTATAAACGACGTATCCGAGACCCCAATAATCTCTTACTTATGGCCCCGGTGTGAAATGGAGAGCAATTGCAACAACGGAGCCAATATGTAGGCTTTAGTCTACGCATCGGATACCCCCCCCCCCCACGGCGTCAAGAGCGGCGCAGACTGCTAAAGAAGCAAGCAATGCTTATAGAATTAAGTTCGCCCCGACCCATCATTGGCACTATTCGGCCGGAGACCGAGTTAGTCCTCAAGTCATGTGCAACCGGTGATACATATATTTACAGAAGCAGGGTTGGACGGACATAGATATCATGGAAGGAGATGTTAAAAGTGTCCACTTGCATTCCGATTACAGTACAGAAATGGCTTAATGCAGTTAGTAAGTACTTTCTGCAACGTCACGGTGGTGATAGCGTGGCATTCATTCACAATATTCTGCTGCAATTGCTCGAGGGAAATTGGCTTGTTTCTGTAAACCATTCGTTCCAAATATCCCCAGAGAAAAAATCCAGCGGATTTAAATCGGGTGACCGTGCGGGCCATTCGATGTGGCCTCCACGACCGATCCAACGTAGGCCGAATTCCTCGCAGAGATATTCTCGCACCGATTGAGCATAATGTGCTGGTGCACCATCGTGCTGTAACCATATGGTACTGCGAACTCTATCCGCCTCCAACTGGAGAAGTACGCAAGTCTAGAACAATTCCTTGTACGAAGATGCTAGCAAAAGTAATGGTTGAGTAATATCAAACAACTTATCGGTCACAATTCTAGAAAAGAAAAATGGTCCAACGATTTTATGACCGGTAATTACTGCCTAAATCATCAGTTTGGCGCTATGTAGAATACGTGACGCGGTGTATCTGCGTGGATTTGAAATAGCCCAGAAATGTTGTTTGTCCGTTGAGTGCAATTGGAAAACGGACTCATCCGTAAACATTACGGAGTGAATGCATATGCGATCCAAAAACCAACAGCAAAATGCATTCGGTTTATCCGGATCGTTTGGATTCAAAACCTGAACCTGGAGTGTACGAAACCGACGAAGATTACGTTCCTTCAAACTCCTCTGAACCGCGTAGCGTGTGGTGCCACAATGCTGGGCGATTCTACGTATGCTGAGATCTGACCTCTCAGATGCTTCACGTACAACGGTGCAATTTGCAAAATATGCAGTACTGGTGCGAGACCGCCCGGATTTTCTGGCGTCGCACACACTCCTAGTTTTGTGAAACTTGTTCACCAATTGAAGCACGTAACGGCCGCTGACGGGTCGCTTTCCAGCGTTTAGATTGTTATATGTTCGAGCTGAGTAATTTGAACGTGCTGTACGTCAGGCACGCTACGGCGTCCGGTTTGCAGAAACGTCACCGACGGAGGAGTAAACTCGTGTTCCATTGCTGAGAGGGCGACCAACTGATAAATAACAATAATGCCACCGTTTATCTCGGTCCGCCAAACATTTTGTCTTCCAACATTGACCAAAATGTATCGATCGCTCAAGTATCCCTAGTCTGCGTCTCATAGTGTGAAGCACCATGCAAATTGGGGTAGGCAGACGCCGCGTTGTTGTGCGTAGTGCATCCTGTGAGATCCGGTTGGATTTCCCGACTGCCGTTAGAATACATAGGGTTTTTTCAGGGTGTGCAATGTGCGTCCATTACAATCGGTAGACAAATCCTGGTCACAGTGTAATGGCCCTATTTTTGAGCAGAGATGGAGTAGGGTCGATGCAGTTGAGAGTTGGATACACCACAGTTGTTTAGCGTGCTCGGTAACTAGGGCACTGACATGAACGCAGCTCAGGAGGCAGATTGTTGACTTGATAAGAGCTCAGTGGATACAGTGGTAACACTGGGGCGAGTTCAGTGGGAACTGTGCGGGATATGTTGGCCGCGTTTTCATTGAGTTCCACTCCCTTGTGATCTGCGCGGATTAGTGGGCCCTTGGCAGCAGTTTCCGTAGTGATAGCTCCGCTCTAAACTGAGTTATTCAGACCTCTGCACAGCGACCGTGTTGTTCAGGCCCGATAGTGTACTGGCGCCAGTGAAACCCGGGTGAATCTGGCAGGGCTGTGTCAGTTACATACGTCATCCAATAAACGAACAAGCTAAGTGTACAGACGGCTGTGGGCAAACCCTAGGCCCAATTAAAAAGTGGAGAACTGAGCAAAGTCGGGCAATCTTTCCGCTCCCCATTTATCAGTACTGTGTTAGCTACACACAAGTATGACCAATAACAGAAAGGATTTGTCCTTGACAGAAAAGTTGGACTTTTTGGACGGAATTAAAATTTGTTCACCAGGAACATCGCAGGTCAAGTAATCGAGTGATTTACATATTTCTTGTCATACTCTAGCCAGGTTGATTGCTAGCGAAAAGGAATTCCGGCAGAATCTGTCGCATGGCACTGCAAGTTCTCAGAAAAGAAAGCGATGTGGAAAGGATGACGAAGTTGAAACTGAATTGAAAGAGTGGATGATATCGGTTCGTGAGCACAACCAAACAGTTACAGGCCCGCTTCTGAAGAAAAAAGCAGAAATCGGGGAAAGACTATGAAAAATCTTCACTGTCACAGAAGGATGGTTGCAAAGATGGAAGAATAGAAATTAAATTGTGGATAAACGTGCACATGGCGAGAAGAGTTCCGCGGACAGATCAGTCTGTGAAAGCTGTCTGAAAGCTCGACTGCTTGGACTTGTAAATGCATTTGATGATGACAACGTGTACAACGCAGACGAAACAGGTCTTTTTTTACCGAGCAAGTCAAGAGCGCCCTTTGTGTTTTTCTGCTGATAACTCAGCGGATCTCCTGTGTTGCGCAAATATGTCAAGCACGGAGAAAAGAAAACTGGTTTTGAGTGGAAAAAGTAAGAAAGCACGAGGTTTTAATGGCGTGAACGTGGACACACTTCCCATAACTTACAGAGCTAACAAAAATGCGTGGATGACGAGAGCACTTTTTACCGAGTGGGTTTTCGAATTGGACAAAGCAGCCGAGAATTTTTGTTACTTTTGGATAACTGCACAGCTCATTCACAGGTAGGTCTGAAAAGCATTTAAATGGAGTTTTTGCCGGCAAACACGACCAGCATTCTTTAACCCATGGACCAAGGTGTGATTATGAATCTGAAATTGCGTTACAGAAAGGAACGTGTGGGCCGAATTCTTTATCACATCGAACATAACGTGTTATCTGGCTCATCACCGGCGGTGGATGTCAGCGCCAAGATTTCTGTGTTCGATCCAGTTCAGTTCGTTTCAAAAAGTTAGAGACAGGTTATCGGGGCAATAATAAAAACGAACAAACCCGTGTGAAGTCGCAACGGCCTTACCGATGTGTGTGACACTCAGTTGGGCGATTTAACCATCAGATGGGACAACAACCACTCACCCATCGACCACTGTGACTGGTTGTTCGATTGACATAAGAGAGGTTGGTCGGTCTAATCCAAGCCTCGGGCGCAAAGTCGTGTCAGTTTATTTTTCCATACACATTCTTATCACAGAATCATGCAGCAATCTGCTGCTAGACATAGAATCTCGCATAGCCGACACTTTGAACCAGCTATTTCAATTTTCCAGTGTCTTCCGAGGACACACAGAGTTACATCGCAGTACAATAGCAACCGCATTGTAATTTAAAAGCGATATGATAACGCATTGACGACCAAAGTATGGCGATAATTTTCAAAGTTCGAGATTTCCTATTACTCCAAAAAAAACTTGCAGCTAACTCACAAAACTGCAACACATGAATTAGAAATCAATTGCGAAAATTCGATCATGCCGAAAATGTTGTGTTACATGTAATCGAGCAGGATTTATTTGATGTAAGTTAGGCATGGTTCATAGGATGAGAAGCGGCATAAAGCGGTTACTTACCTGACATGCGGTCTGCCGCCATCCCCATGGCATAATGGCATAAGTCGTTGGAGTCAAGGGGTCGTGAATTCAGCTTCAGAGGGGACCGGGGGATGCGCGCCGATAGCGGGCACCATGAGCCCGAAACGGCTGTCTAACGCCGTTCCGGATGTGGGACACGATGTGTGGTTGTGAGTAGGCTAGGACGAACCGACTTTTATAACAACTACTGCCGTGGTTATGATGAGCATGCATATTAGGATTATTATTTGTATAAACGCTAATCCAAAGGAAAAAAACATGGAGAATAACCTTACACAGGATTACATTACAAAGACTGTCAAAACGTCCGAGGTCGAACTAGAGCATGGCAATTTCATATTACAACGAGAACCAGGGGTGGGGTCGTAACGGCTCCAAAAGTGGATGAAGAACACAGGACCATTTCGCCATGACCACCAACGTAGATTATACCTAACCACGACAGTTGGACTCCAACTGGCGAAACCTAGTTAACTGTAAGCGAGTAAACCCTTTAAGCAGATACGATGTGAACGACAATATAAGTTTTACAGCTGATTTCAGAACATCTAGCGTTGCACTACATGTGTGACGAGAATCAGCTAAGCTGGCTATCAAATTTGACCATCACGAAGTCTCGGAGGAAATTCTTCTCTTAGAAAACAAGTAGCGATGCATAAACTTTTCCCCGGACTTTTAATCCTAATTGTGTCAAATGTACTTTAAGTTGTTTTATGCGGCTGCAACGAGACTGGTGCGAGAGTACCATAAAAATGCATTGAATGGCGACTTTGGAAGAGCCGAGAACAACTTTCACTCGGCTGGACTATGACTAGAGATAGAACAAACCTGAACCCCATGTTAAGGATTAGGAATGGAGCGGCACTCATGGCTTGGAAGGTGGCGCGCTTCAAAGCTTCGGTTCCATTATGGTAAGGCACTTAAACCTAGTAACTTTAATTGAGGACAGGCGTGGGGCAAACTAACGGTATGCGAACGCATAGATGAAAAATAGTGGGGAAGCAAAACACTAATACAGAAAGTTGAGATGGCAGCGACGAAGATGACTCACCCACGTATGTGGCACAGGCGCTCGAACAGGTCCAGTGTTTGAGTGTAATTCGAAATGAGAACCACTTTGTCTGAAGTGGACGTGCGGATGAAAGCCAGCAAGTAGTCCAACACCTGAAATTTCCCTGCCCGTTTGGAAGGAGAACGTAAACGGTGACAAGGAGGGAATTAGAAACAGAGCAACTGCCGCATGTATCAAAAGTAAAACACGATGGCGGCTTGATATTGAAAAATGGATGACATCTCAATGCGAGATTAAGGGCACAGCAGCCAATGCTGAATGAAGACTAAACTGACGCACTGTAGCGAGCGTTATGATAAATGTGACACAAAGCGACGATCGACACGAAGGTGGATAAAGTTCAGTGCCAAGTAACTATGATTCGGGGATCGAAATGCGGTGGATCCCATTGGCACAACTCCCGTGGTCAGAATAGAACCAAATAACAACGGTGAGAAAATGAGGTGGAATGCAAACAGAATACAAAGAAAATGGAATCGGAACAGAAAAGCACAAAACTAATTGGGAGGGAATAAAAATTGACAGCTAGATGCACAGGAGATCCTTCGGCTTTTGCGACTGGGAGTAGCGAACTCGGAGAAAACAGCTACAGTGACGTAAGTCAAGAATACTCTACGTTTACCTACGGAACCCGTCACGTAAGAACCACTGCACATTCGAGCTTCCACAGTCACGAGAAGTGTAGATGATGCTACGGTGCTTCGATTGAAGCCCAAATCATGACCAGATACTATGGCTACCTCCGCCGACAGGCGTCCATCGATTAAGATCAACTCCGAAACGGTCTGTCGCATTTTAGTGTAATCGGCAGAATTAATCTGACTGAGAGCATGGGTACATCATGACATTTGTTGGCGTATGTGAAGATGCAAATCACTAATTTCCAAAACGATACCTAATTAAAGTGCGAGAGTTAGCATACTTGCAAGAGATAGATTTCGATGTTCCATCAAACAGCAAAACATGAAGGAAGATGGGATGAGAAAAGACCGAGCGTGAGCAACGAACCTGATAAATCGGGCCGAAAAGGTACATTGTGTTCCAAAGAGCCCCGATAATCTGGTGAAAAGTGTGACAGTGCATTGTGGAAACCTTCCGCATTGGCCAACATTTTATCGTAGACCAAATCCGGATCTGCCGAGTGGAGGGACAGTGAAGGTAAGGGGTTTGGCAAGGTCATAGAGTACAACAAAGGCAGTACGCAAAAGACCTCGGTGGGTCAAACACATACGGTTGCACAGCTTCTTCAAATTGGTAATTGCGGCCAAAGTGGAACCGGACAGTCCGGAAGAATTCCGTGCACTATCGTCCAGACTATTCAGACGATGTGCGACTTCCTGCGCCTTGCGAGAGACGAACTCTGCGTACACCTTGCGCTGACTCGGAGCCAGACTACAGCAGACCACTTGTTCGACTAGAAAACAACGAACATGAGGTGAGACAAAAACAAGGAAATCAAAAGTGGTAGGAGTGGTGCGTGAAATTTCGTGTTGTTAAAATAAATCAAGCAACGAACCACGCAAGTACATGTAAATGTCGTAGTGCGCACGTCAATTTGCCGCACTGAGGGATGCGCAGTTTCAGCCACTACGAAGCAACCAGATTGCTTCCCAAAGGTACGGTGACAACCGCCTGTCGTAAATGAAGATTTGGTCTACATACCGAGAAAGCGAGTCACTAAATGAGCTCGTTCATTGGGTAAGGTCGAGAACCAGAGCAGCGCGTCGGTACATCCGTTTTTATTTTTTCTGTTGAAGTGGAGGTTTAGTCACTAGGTAGATTACGCGGATAAGGCAAGCGAAGACGATCGATTCAGTGATGTGACAGACAAGTGGACCGATCGATAAGTTTAAGCGTTTGTTCGGTGTTGGTGAGAACCGATGGTGAGCCGACCCAGTTTTTTGACATTTAGCACTTTTGAGATGAAAAGAAAATTCCGAGACGTGCGACAATACGCATCAGCCCGTTCAGTGAGAATCGCATAGCAACAGCGTCTAACCTAAAGAAAATTGTCATGCGCATATGCTACACTTGATATTCGGTAGAACATCGGCTCCAGATGAAGTAGGAGATGATCGTTTGTGATCACTTCAACCAAGTGCTGTGCTCGCTCTGGCGAGTTCATGGGAAAGATATTAGTAGACCCTTATATGGCCACGGGAGTTGTGGTATAGAGATTTGCTAACAAATACGCTCTTCAAGGATAGACATCTATACCGGGGACTCGGTGTCAGAGATGATTGATTTGTAGGTAAGTAAACAAGGAGAAATTTGGTTAGGCAAGATAAAATGCAGTCCATCCTCTTGAAACACAGGGGTGAAGCACACTACCCCACACAGATTTGGGAATCGCAGTGCATAACTAAACAGTGAAATACGCACACGAAGACATGTGAAGCATGTCGTAGACAGCTATAAGGCATGTGTATGGAAAACAAATTGACAAAGAAGGTTTTCGAATACCTATAGAGATCGTTTGCCGAGTTCTAAACAGAGTCATCAGGACCCTTGCCAGTAAATACAGCCCAAGCTCTTTGTTATGAAGATCAAAGCAGCAGCGCAGTTTGATTCGCTGAAAGATCTACTCCAATTTGCCTACACCGGAACTCCGGTGCAGTGGGACCCAGAAAATTGATATCAAAATTTATACGCTAATAGTACAAAGGAATAAGGCAAAAATACTTCATAGCTACTTCATCTTCTTCAGTAGATATTCCCTCGTGCAGAATAGGGTGGGAACCACAATCAGATGGTAGGACAATGCAAAAGCATTTCGTAATAAGCTCGAAAGTAATCTCGACCTGAGCGAGATTAAGATCATGTACACACATGTGGAAAACCATTTGTATAAAAAAGGACTCTAAAAGACCTAGCAAGTGGAAATATGAGATAATCACACAAGACAAGCGCCTCTGATTATTGTTAGAGAACACTAGAAGTTTATGTTTACAGGAATTAAGTAAAAAGAGGAGCAAGTACTTAAAAATATAGCATACAAACAGCAAACTACTCATCTATTTGCAAAATGTGAGCACGTCTCAAGGTGCAAAGTCCCCATACCTTTGTTTATTTCACTGATGAGTAGTGAAGATTTCATATGATTAGAGATAGTTCATCACAGTCGACTCCCAGTCAGCAGGCTCTGGCTAGTCTGGAAAAACACTAGACACCGATGTTCCGATCTTCTGGGTGTTGTCAGTGGTGCGCCTTCCAGCGGGCCACTGCCAGATTCCTTTATTTTCCAACCCCACCCCCCACGGATCCGAGAATTCTATTATCTAGTAACCCATCATGAACCGTCTAGCAAAGGATGTTAAGCAAACAAAACATACGCAAAGTGCGACTCCAGCCTCCCTTGAGCAGTCTTGCACCAACCGCAATGCAACGAAACACATACTATGTCAGGAGCCCACACATAGGTAGATGCGCATCCACATATGACCATATGTGCCAATTATTATGAATAGCATATCGCATACTGAGAAATATACCCGGTAATAGCACCGTCAGAATCACTATGTTTACGAAAGATAGACTCACTTTTCACAGGCAAGTACTTTGTGAGTAGGGCTTGAGTGCGGCGAATGATACAGCGAGTGACGAGGCCGAGGAGCTAAGTTGGAAAAGAGGGCAACGTGAATTGGGAAGCGGGTGGAAGATGGACAAGGTTTATTGTTTTACAAAAGAACAACTACAGAGGAGAGTTAACGTGTTGGTGGAATGTAAGGAAGGTCAGTTAAAGGGCTACAAACTATGGAGAACATCCCGGGGACATCGGCGGTGCTCAGAGAAAACAAGGTAATATGATTCAGGATAGATAGATCACAAAAGAAGACTGAATCATGATAAAATGGCACACTGAGTGAGCAACTGGTTGTGGTTTGTCAACAAAAACACAACTGCGAAAGTCCAAAAACAACGTGGTATGTTCATGAGAAGTATACTAACTAGGCAAAATCGGTGAGCGTAGGATGTGGTCCGCTAAAGAGACGGGAACATCTGATGGAACACATGAATGGGAATTGTTTTAAGTTCAAAAGTCATACCAAAGCATGGGTCAGTATATTGAAGTGGGCGATTCGGAAGAGTGAGGGTGTTACGGGTTGAGCGATGGTGCTAACGCAGGTTGTTTTAATTAAAAGGGATCCACAGATAGCTATGAGTTGTATGCCCTTGAGGAAATATAAACGAGGGAGGAAGACGTCCTGGAGAATGCAAAAAATGAAATTTTTCGACATGGCAGTCAAAACACAAAAATACAGTCATGTTTCAAGCAAAAAAACAGACTTATTTTGCTCACGAGGTCAAGCATCTTTGCACAATAAACCAATATTCGTCAATTCGATGATTGACTATACTGGACAGTTGGTAGCGCTAAACCAAATTCACAGAGGGTGAGAAAAATGTGCTAAGGAGAAGAGCATTAAGGGGAAATGCTCCGGAGTGCACACCTGAGGGACGATAGTAGGCGGTTTAAAATATTGCGACAGACCTCTTGGAGCTTTTCCTCTCCTTTCTTTTGCTCATCTTCCGTGGCGTCTGCATCTCTCCCTCGAAGTATGGGCGTTTCAAAACGTCGCCTGAATTCCAAAGCAGTTCCCAAAAGGCCCATGTTCACGAAATGAACCAAGCTGAAGTACTCCAGTAAATCATTTTGGATCGGTGTTCCGGACAGTAGCACACGACGATGGCAATTTAACTGCATCAACGCCTGATATGTTTGGTTCTCTGAATTCTTCAGCCGATGTCCCTATAAATGTTCACGGGAAAGTGTACAGGAGCAGTCACAGAGAAAATTCCGGATACAATGACACTACTAATGCAAAGGTAGTAGCCCAACTTAATAATAGATAGGCAAGAGATAACACCAAGTAGATATAAGTTCGTCAACTGACGACTGTCTGTAGAATGCGGCGCTGGAAGTTAGTAAAGCTCTGAAACTGTAAATCCTGGTTAATTTGACTTTACTCGGGTTAACACACTGAATACAAATGATATAATTGGGAATTGATTACAGGGGGAAACAGACCGCGCTCACAGTGGAATGATAATCCAATAAACCAACAGCCAAACGTTGCTACGTTTTTATTCTATTGATCGGATGCAGAGAAAAACCGGGCTGAGAAAAAAGGAACGGAAAAAGTGACGGCGGAGAGTTACTGGAGTGCTATCCCATTTGGAATCAACACGAGTAACGCTCACTGATTCGTAGTCGTTAAAAAATAGCACGAGCGTGTATACCAACGGGTTACCACCTAGGATTGACGAATTTGTCATTCGATGGTGTTTGAAGGCAGGTAGACAATAAGGCAGCGGGAGGCGATATTGACGGTGGTGTAGTAACAATAGGGTCGGATGATAAAATGTTCTTCCAACGAGATGACAACAAGATCAGGTAGACGTTGAGCGGATTTATGGCGTAACTGGAAAATTACTACGGTGATCGAGGAAGGAAAGGAGAAGATTTGTGATGAGATAATGCTGGTCCATCAAAGCAGAGAATCAACATAAATACCAGTATTTTGGGGTATGACTTTTGTTACTACCGAAACCAGTGTTTAACGGAGACTCGACAACATTCAATTAAACGCATAGTTTGGGCTGTGAGAAGTAAGGACGGTGGGCAGAACAAAAATCATTGAGGTACCCGTGGTTCTACATAAATGATTATAAAACAAAATGGAGACGTACAACTCATGAACAGATGGGCAGACTAGCAAGTAGATACAGTCACAAGTTCACGTGTTCAGCTCGAACACTGCGCTCATTCGATTGCGTAATATATGGCGGGCTAAAACAAAGCGTCCGGATATTTGTGTTCTAAAAACCGATGTCCGTAAATAAGTAAAAGTTATGTGATAAAGACTAAGAGGAAAATTGACAATAAGCATCTTATCGGTTAGTTCAAATCCTGGATACGGTCGATAGTAGAATCCGTAGCATCGTGTGGATAAAAATGTAAAGTGACGATATACTACTTAGAAACAGATAGTACCAAGGTTGCGTCAGAGACTCAGAAATTAACAGTATGACGCCGGTGAGTTAGGAATGCGCACTCAGTAACACGAGTGCAAGGCGAGAAGACTTGCGTTCTACATGGTGGACGGTGTGAAGTGGACCACAGTTAAGAAAGAAGTGTGAAATGAGGTCGTTGAGCATAAAATGAGATGCTGTTGGTCCCTATGTTACCTCGCAGATTGAAGCTTATATGAACCGTGGTTAGCATGAAGAATTCAGGTTGTGGTTCACAAATGATAATAATTGCTTGCCTACCGTAATTCCTTAATTGGATCACCTGTTAGAAGCGTTTACGGTGTTGAGTCGACTGTGTGATAGGGCTGAGTGCGACGCGGAGTAATGAAGGCTACAGAGCTGTTACGCCACTCCGCTTTCTCATGATAGTCGGCAGTTTGCGACCGTAAAGCGTAGGCAGATTGCAAGAACCCGATGGAATGGGGAATGACCAGTGGAAATGAACAGGTGGTCGCGAGAAACGAACTGATCAATTAAAAATGAAGATAACGGATTCGTTCACTGGACACAGCACGTATTGGCAGCCGCCCACGCTGCTTTGCTGATTAGCTAATGCATGGCGGCGCGACTGTGAGTTACCCCGTTGTTTGTTTGACTGGGTCCGAGGAAGAACTCCATGGGTCAGAGAAAGTTTAATATCGATGGAGACGATGTTGAAGTGATTCGCACCTCAAACGATTTTGCTGAGTGCTGTTGCGTGAACAAGCCATTCGTGTACAAATGACTGATGTTTGGTACTCATCGAAGTCTTCCGTCTATCCCCATCGTATACCTCATCAGTGCGATTGAGGATGGACGGAGGAGAAGCGACGACACGTGGTAGAATAGCGTGGCGCTGGTGATAATGATGTGTCCCGAGTGTGTGTGTGGAGTATATACCTTGAACACAACTAAAGCATATGACTGATATTTCTAAGGGAACAACAACAACAACAACCAGTGTCAACTCTAACGACATGGCTTTCGCAATGAGCTGCGATTTGAGATGGAAGAGATGTGGCCTTCCGAGAATCCAAACGAAGACTGAACAACGAAGGGAAGTTCAAATTCGGATCACTGTAGCGCAATTGCAATGGCTCATTTTTGCTATCCACCCTGTCTGAATTCATTCACTCGCGCTCATTCGCTGTTGTTTGAGCTACTGCTATCTTGGCTGGAACAAAGTTGCGTTTTGTTCACCATACACCCAAACCGATCCTGGGCTGTTCATCCGCTCTCCGTGTAAATGTGGTCAGATTGTTTGATTTCAGGTTTTGAATACAAACCCGTTTTGGTGGGTTTTCATTGTGGCAACCGTTCGCTCTTGAGACAAGAGCTACTTTTCAGGTCAGATTGCGCCGGCGGTGCTGATTAGATTTCCACCAGCAGGTTCCGTCTATTCTGCTCGCTCGGTGAATCAGCCACTATCGGAACATGCACCATTCGCCCAGGGTGTTGCGCGCGCGCGCGGGCAACTCGCTTAACTTAGTCCAGGACGAAAGACGTGCTCGATTCACAGCAGCACTGCAACCCGACTTCCCACTGTTCATCTGACCAGTGTAAGCGAGGGGTCAAATTGCGCTAGCAGCGCTGATTGGTTTTCCAGTCCACAAGTCGCGCGCCAGTTCCGCTCGTGTAAGCTGCAAACTACCATCACACTGACGGTTCACGCAGAGTAAAATAAGTGGTTAACTTGGACTAGTCTCAAACGAATCATGATACTGAACCGACTCGTAGTAGTCAAACGCTGTATTCATCATGTAAACTTCGGCGAAACTAAGAAGCGCGAAGAATTCGTTGCCATATCCTCCTTATGTCCCAGGAACTTGAGTGAGGCTACCTATAGATAACAAGACGAAAAATTTATGCTTAATAAGGTGGCCGACGAAAAGCCTGTTACCTCCTGAATGAGCAGGGATACACATCCTGATATTTTCTGGGGTGTGGTTCGCATGTAAAAGGCAGTGAATGTTGACCAAAACCATGTTACAATACACACCTTGCGGCCAGAGTGAAGATGAGAGATCCATACAAAAAATGCGACCAACCAGTGCAGTTCAGCTAAATCACCTGTGGTATAAATGGATCCAATCACTATGACTCGAGTCACCATGGTAATAAAAAGCGGCAACGTAAGAAAAAAGGAGAGGAAATGTGGGAAAATGACGGAAAGTTGAGCAGTAAAATAGTGACCATCGGTAGTCGGAAAAGGCTAACATGACTACAACAGACTGAGTGCGAAAGTGACCTGCTTCCATGAACGCTACAAATCGAACGAGGTTCATTGCTGCTAACATGGACGATCTCGTATGATTCATGGAGGACGGTGACACGTACCTCATTGCACCTTACCGTTTCGCTCGCTGAGAACCGCATGGTCAAACCAACTGGGCGGAACAAAGGCAGATAGTTAACACAGAGCGATGCGGTCAGTGGCCATGTGAATAACTTGCGCTGACTAACGCGTGCGCAATGCCAGAAAACCTATCATTGATCCGCGGTAGCCATGCCTTCTATTACACTCCGTCGTTTAGCGCGCCGATTCCCGACGAGTAGACTGGTACCCGTCATCATCAGTACACGTTAGTTGAGGATGAGAAACACACCTCAACTAATGTGCCGCAAAGACTGGTACTCGAGTTGCCCTCATACAAGTAGGAAACGTCCTAAAGCCGCCAAAGCGACATCAATGCGAGTGGAAACCTCTACGTTGTTTGACCATCAGAGGTGATACGACTGCCTATACGAGTGGACAGATCGGTCGCTTCAAGTGACGGTCCCGGCTGTTGTAAGGGCTGGTGTGGTATGGCTTTGGTCCTGAGATAGCAGCTTGATCGTTAAAGGCGCAAAACACAACCGTACAGCGTTACATGCTGATCCATTTTGCATACCTTGTAACAGCAGACATGTCCGATGTCAGAAGAACCGCATTATCGGTGATATGTAGGTCAGCCATTAAGTCAGCTGAAACCCATAAGTATGGGAAATAGAGAACAAAAGCTATAGTTTGTACGCTACTGTTTCTGCAGAAAAAACGGTGAGGGCACCGCGGATGTCACCGATAAGGGGAAACGGTGCAAGGTACCATCATGCTAGAATGAGAAAGTAAAGTAGGGTTTCTGGTAGAAGACAAGCGAATAAAACCCACAGTGGGAAAAAGTGTACAGGACAAAGGGTTGATGTGCCTGCTAGCAGATAGAACGGTGCTGAAGAAAAGGCTTGCTTACCTCGTCGCACAGAACAAGTCCTACTTCGCCTTTGTGCAGGGTGGGCGCATGCAGACGAAAGGTTTCGTAGGAGATGATCAAGATCGGCGTGGGTGTCCTGCGACCGGTCTGAGCAAGAAAATTGGCTGAAAAGAGTGCAGAAAAGGGTAAACAATCACGGTATAGCGAAATTTAGTTGAACTGCACATTCATGCAGGACAACTGTCAAGATCAGTATCGTTCGGTAAAGGACTTTAGCTATGATTGGGAAAAACCGGTTCCTACTGTTGCTAGCTGGGACTAAACGAGTAGTCCGCATTCATTAGAGCATTTCTACTACTGTCTATTTATCAGTAGTCCGCAAATGCTCCACGGTTGTTGCAACACTGTCAGCCCGGCCAAGACAGTGGACAGCATTCCACATCGGTGGATTGTTGACGAAAGGGCAATTTTTATTTCTTCTTAATCATTAAGATTCGTTCATGTATGGATATCCATTTGTATAACGCAAACGGCGGGAAGCTTTGTTTGATCGTAGCTTGTATTACCCCAATGGGATGAGCTCGTATCGGATAGACAGAATCTTCGGAGCTAGTTCTGCATCCAATAGATAAGCCCCTAACTTCTGCTTGTGTTACAAATTTCTCTTCCGATGCATAATAACTAAAAGTAGAATCGGAGTATTTTCACTGCACGTTGTTACACCCACTGCCCAAAATCTCACAGACCACCAATCAGCAGTTAGCTGTTTCTCCGGTTACACTCTATTCGATCGGTTGTAACCGGTGACTTGGAACAAGCAGATACGAGCAACCGTTTTAACTACTAAAAGACAGAAACATCAGACAACCAGTCGTTGGAGTTGTTTAAAAGCAGTGGCACCAGGGCTTAGACCAAATTCGAGGACAGAAAATTCGTCCTTAAAGTACAACAGGATGGAGCAATGCTGGAGATGGGCGAAAGTTGACGCAGAGATGGGAAATGAAGACGCTGACTAGCAAATTAGGTGTTACTGGTCTGTCTCACCTTCAGAGTGGAGTCCACAAGATCCGCCTTGTGCTTGGCTTGAGAAGTTACAGGACGGCTAGCAGTGGACCCCCGTGGCGCGTCTACTGTCGTCTCCTAATCTGACTGGCTAGTTAAAGTGTGTTTGGTGTTGAGTTATCTGTGCGGTAATGGCTGATTATGATGCGGAGCAGTGAAAGCCGCAAGGAAGCTGTCTCACCGATGCCGCCTTATCTTTGTATGATAATCAGCTGTTCATGCGTGTTTTGTTGACAAGGCGCCAAGACCCTAAAGTTTGCTTAGGGCATTCAGGTGTTACACTAGGTTCCGTTCTCGCCCACTTATTATTCTCTGTTCCTTATGCTATTGCGGCCGTATGGTAGCGCAGGATTAGTTTAAATGGCCGATGTACTGTTATTGATGATGACAGTGGTGGTGATTTTCAAGTAGAGAAAAGCCCATCAAGTACATCCAGGAACCAAAACGTCATCATTTGCGGTGGACTAAGTTTGGTTCTGATAAGCTATACCAACATTCCACATCTAAATGACTCTCCTGTTGAATCCAGCAGGTAGGCAGCTTTGCTCAGAAGATCAAGGCGGCCAATGAGTGCCACATGAAAACGCTGGGAGAACAGCATTGGACGTTCGCACTCTCTGGTCACAATGAATGTATGGTGCTTTGGAGATTGAACGAATTCCGCCTGTATCATGGGAAGAACGATATCACGGCATCTAGTGACTCCATGTTCGAGAAATTGGAAGAGTTGTGCCACGACGTTTGATCCCGAACATTCATCAGCCAGACAGCCAACACACATTTAGGAAAAGGCTAGACGGCCGTTTCATCCTATTGAGACTCGTCAGCAACGTGCATCCTCTTTCAGTGGTTCGTCATCAGGCTGGCTTGCCGAACAACCTCCTCGTGGTGCCAGCTGGGTGGTTCGGGTTTTTCCCGTTCCAGCGAATGGTTCGGCGGCAGTGTTCCAGGATGTGGTGGGTTTTCGCCTGGCAAGCGTTCTCCCTATAAAAAGCCACATATGTCCGTTTAACAACACTGCGATGTGGCGGATGTGACTCGCCACTAAATAAAGTCACTGCCCCTTGTTCCTCCCTGAGAGGCATTGTACTTTAAGGGTGAGTTGGGCCCCTGGTCCTTCACGGACCGAAAGGCGTATGAACCATCTATTTGGTCACCGGCTCCCAACGGGTTGCGACGCCCTCACATCGCCCTCCTGCCTTGTAGGTTAGATCTTTGATCAAAGGCTCGGGGTAGGGCCCCCTAAGACAACCCACTACTTCGACCTGGGCAACCGGGTAGTATCACGCCCAATGACGAATCATGGACTACACCGCTCACTACTACTACTGCTATGCCGCTCTTCTGTCCTAACTCAACCGCTCAACGTCCACTCACAGACCACCCCACCTCCCGTCCTTCACCTACATGTACTCTTATGTCTTCTACGGTCATCGTCACAAACGACCCACGTCTCGCAGCTGATAGAAATAACGGCCAAACCCCCGGTTTTCAATGTCCTGCGATCGCAAGCGCCTCTCACTCCACCGAAGCTCCAGCTCTTCTTCGACCTGGTTCTCCATTCATCCTCGCAGCGTTTAATGTTCGAACTTTGATGCAGATCGGACGACAAGCATGTCTGGCCCGTACTCTTGAAACGCTATCGGTAGACATCTGTTGTCTTTCAGAGACCAGATTACAAGACTCTAGCGCCGTCATCAGAATGACCTCTCCGGTAAACTCTGACGCCAAATACCACTTGCGGCTTTCCGGAGACCCAGAAGCTGCCGTCACTGGTCAAGCTGGTGTTGGGGTTGTACTGAGTGCCAGGGCTGAATCAGCTCTGCTTGACTGGATCCCAGTCAACAGCCGACTATGTGCAGTCAGACTAAGAGGTTCATGTAACGTAAGCAGGCGTAGAGATGTTAAGCGTGCCTTACTTGTCGTTCCCGCCTACGCCCCTACAGACTGCAGCCCGGATGCAGCTAAAGATAGCTTTTACCAACAACTACATGAACTTCTGCGTTCCTCCAAAAGGATGGATATAGTCATTCTTGCCGGGGACTTTAACGCACGGGTTGGCCGCCTTCTACCAAGCGAGCACAACATTGGGGGTAGTTTTGGTCTCGGTGGCAGTCGATCAGACAATGGAGACAGACTACTTGCTCTTTGCTCTGATCATCGCTTGTTTCTTTCGAGCACTAGTTTTCGACACTCGAGGAGACAGACTGCTACCTGGCGCCCGCCCTCACAAATGCAAGAGTGCTCCCAGCTTGACCACACAGCAATCAGCTACAGATGGCGCGGAAGCGTAACGGACTGCCGATCGTACTGGTCAACTTTTCTAGACTCTGATCACGCATTGGTTCGTGCTAAGATTTGCATGCATTTCGGAGGATCACCTAAGCGCGCCCACTACCGACCGGACGTCGCGAATCTACAAAACGCTGCGATTTTAACCAGGTACCAAGCCTCACTGTCAACCATGCTTGGCTCAACTATTGACGATGATCTCGATTCGCAGTGGGCGCATATCAAAGATGCGTTGGTTTCCGCCAGTATCGACACTTGTGGAGTTACCCGTCACCCACCGAAACATTGGATTTCCGCCGACTCCTTGTCGCTGATGGACAGACGCCGCTTGATCCCATCGGATTCCAGATCCAGTGAGGAACGCCAATACCTTGGTCGAGAGTTGCGCAGAAGTCTGCAAATGGGCCGCAAAGCTTGGTGGTGTAAACGTGCTAGGGAGATGGAGCTTGCTAGTCTCTGTGGGAATACCAGGAAACTCTTTCATCTCATTCGAGTCACCGAAGGTGTTCGATCTGGTATAAGTGAAACAATATGCGAAGAGGATGGCACCTTAATCACCAATCTTCAACGACGGTTGGAGCGATGGGCCGAACATTTTGGCTCGCAGTTTTGTTGGCCCCCAGCTCCATCTGCTACCTCTGGCGCTCGCGCTGGGGCCGAGTGGTCTACCCCAACAGACCCTCCCTCCTCCCAGGAAATCGAGCAGGAGCTCCGGCACATGAAGCGTTATAAAGCTCCCGGCCCTGATGATCTTCACCCAGCTCTATTTAAAGATGGTGGCGCATCGCTGGTCCGAGAACTCACCGCTTTGTTCTCGAAAATTTGGTCGAAAGAGAAGGTTCCATCATCTTGGGGTGAATCGATAGTCGTCCCCAGCTTCAAAAAGGGCCTGCGCACAATCTGCTCCAACTACAGAGGAATACGTTTAGTCCCCGTCGTTTGCAAGCTGCTGGTGTCCATCATACTTCGCAGGCTATCCCCAACACGCGAATCGCTGCAACGAGAAGAACAAGCTGGGTTTCGCCCTGGTCGCGGCTGCATCGATCAAATCTTCACACTTCGCCAGATCCTCGAGCTCCGCCATGTGTATCAGAGGCCAACGATTGCTGTGTTCCTGGATATCCGTGCAGCCTTCGATTCTGCCGACCGTACAGTACTGTGGCAGTGCCTTCTGAGGAACGGTGTTCCCGAGAAGTTCGTCTCCATACTGCGCGCTCTATACAGTCTGACCTCGGGCAGGGTTAGGGCTTATGGCATGCTTTCGCCTACCTTTGTGGTCTCCAGTGGAGTTCGACAAGGATGCCCTATCTCTCCGTTCCTATTCAACTTTGCCATTGAGGATGTCCTGAAGAACGCTCTGAGCGATTCGTTGAACGCTGGCGTTGAGCTCCTCCCAGGTAGTCGAGTTGTTGATTTGGATTATGCTGATGATATCGTCTTGCTGGGTGACGATCCACAGGTCGTCCAACTTGCAATAAACCGCTTGGCGATTGAAGCATCAAAGTACGGTATGTACTTTTCGCCATCCAAATGCAAGGCTCTCTTTCAAGACTGGCAGGTGCCTCTGTCTGCACTCGCGCTTGCTGGTGAGACACTGGAGGTTGTGGAGAGCTTTGTCTACTTGGGAAGTTGCATCACTGCTGGCGGGGCTGTTGGAGACGAGATTTCGATGCGCATCTCGAGAGCACGCCTCGCTTTTTCTAGGCTGAGACATTTGTGGCGTCGCCACGACGTTCGTCTCTCCATCAAAGGGCGGGTCTATTGTGCAACTGTTCGTGCTGTACTGTTGTACGGATGCGAGACCTGGCCCATTCGTAAAGATGACTTGCGCAGGCTATCCGTCTTCGTGCACCGCTGTCTGCGGTCCATTACCCGTGTGTGGTGGCAGCACCACGTAAGCAATTTGGAAGTTAGACAGCGTGTCTTGGGACGTGGAAGCCACTCGCTCGAGGAGCTCATCTCACTGCACCAACTGCGGTGGTTGGGACACGTATTGCGCATGCCTGTCCAGCGTTACCCCCGTCGTGCGTTGTTTGCACTTGCTAGACAGGGCTGGAAGAGACGGTCTGGTGGACAGCCTACAACATGGAGAAGCCGCATGAAAAAGTTGACGAAACAGTTGGCCTCGGCCGGTTGTTGTCGACTACCTGGTTGGGGTCCGAGAGATGAGGATACTTGCCGGTTGAAGACCTTGGAAGTTATGGATCAAGATCGATGTCAATGGCGGACGTGTGCATCGGTTTGTTGCGGTGTCCCTTCTTCCTCCACCTATAAAACAAACGAACTGAAAAAAATTCAAAAACTGAGTGGTAAACTAGACAAAAAAGCATTTGTTGTTGCTCTTTTCTTATTATTCATATTGTTTTCCTATTCAGCCATGATTCCGATGGCACAATATCTGTACCACAGATTGTGTATTTATATATATATATATATATATATATATATATATATATATATATCAACCACAACTAAGTAGACTAGGATGGACACATGAGGTATAAACGCAGTGAGTCACCGAATCGATAAAACCACGTGATTGGTCTGGTCGATGTGAAATCGAAGGAGGTGGTGTCCATTCCTGTCTACTTAGTTGTAGTAGCCTGATGACGAACCACAGAAAACGACCTAGTTCTCTACCTCTTGCTTGTTTCTCTTGGAAATCTGGAAGTTCAGCAAGAATTAGACTAGCCTCTGAGCCACTATATCACACATCAGTCAAGTTGGTCAGCTATTAAGAATAACTGCAGTCCAGTGCACGCAAGTGCAGAAGATTCCCAAGTAGTAAAGCAACTTGACGACGTGCTAGCGGTCTTCTAGACAGGCATTTAGCGAGGTAGTCAAATACGCCCGGTCTTATTTCAGAAGACATACCTCATGTTCGCACACAAAGACACATTTAAAGAAAGCGATTTAGGTTCTAATTTGGGGTTGTACAGGTAGCGTGACTAGTCAAAAGGATTAGCGTAGATACTTCGGTCCCCTGTAAGCAGGTTTACGGGTTCCCCCGCCAAACCAACACCGCAAGTCCAACCATTTCATTAGAAACATCTCAGGTCGATATTGCCAGCGCTTTCGATCAGAGACGGCTGTATTTCCTGTGAATGTAGAGGTGTGCATAGTACGAAATAAAGTAGTTTATCCAGTAAATACGTATCACTTGTAACTCGTGTTAGCGAGTCTTGAAAAAGGAAACCTGCCAAGTGTTCACGAGAAGTGCATATTCAAGTCGCCCATACAGGACGAATGATTTGAAACACGCTGAAGAAGACTGACGATAGCGACACAATATTGCTACCGGTTACCGGCCCGTAGCCTGAAGTTAGCCAGCTTGTCTTGTAATCTGGCGGCGCGGGTTCCAGCCTGTGTAGGAGCAGGGCGACCCTCGCAGTGTTCTTAGCCCACGTGCGACCGGTGGTGGTTGCGCGGCAGCGAAGCGTCGGTACGCAGTACCGACATACTACTGACGCCTTTTTTCTTTTTGCCATAATAAAGAAAAAAATCGTAGGTCCCCGAGTAACATGAGAAAAACCTGTCAGAACGTATTGTCAAGGATCCGAAAGCGGTAAAGTCTTGTAAAAGCCAAGTTGTCTGGAGAAAAGTGACGCTAACTGAAGCGAAGATGACAAGTAAGTGATACTTTAACTGACAAGCTGTCGGTCCTAAAACGTCATACAGGATTACAGAAGATTCAAAAATTGCAGTGATCAGAAATCCACACTGTCAACCAGATGCACCTCACCAAAAGTGGAGCATGACATCGATGCAACAGTGAATTGTGATCTCAACCAAAATTCCCCACTTTAATCGTGCGATCGAGGTGATCATGACTAAGTCTGTCCTCTCAGCCTTGTCAGGAGTGAAGGTTTCACCAAGTAACAAATTGAAAAATCTTGAGTATGCGGACGACATAGGTTCCCTTGGGTCAGACGCAATCGCTAGGCAAGTATTATTGAATGGGTTGACGCACAGCGCTAGACGCTACAAAAGGTATTTTGTACGTATATAAAAGGTACCGTTGTAGGAGTTGGCCGACACACTGCCAGTTCTTGTAACCACCGAGCACCGACTGGAGGTGTTTGACCGATGCAATTAACTTGGTAGCTGTGTCAACTCTGTTGATCACATCACTCAAAAGTATGATTGGCGTAGCACCGAAACCGGTGTGGCGTTAAGGAGGATCAACCATCTAAGAAGATGGCAGCCTGACAGTGAAAGGCAAGGTGTATAACGCAGCAAGAAAAACGGTGTTAGTCTATCGATCGATGATATGGACACCTCGCGCTAAAGACACCAAGAGATTGGTCATTTTCGATTACCGATGGCTGCGGAGTAGTGCTCACACATGGTGGGAACACCGGATGAGCAATGCTGATGTCCGTCAGATGATATTTAGGAGCAAAAACTCTGGCGCCTAGCTGGGGTCTGTTAATGTTGTGGCAACTACGTTAGCATGTTCTCCGTAAGTCCGTTGACCTCGGCGTGCACTAAATGTTGTCGCTGCAACGAGTTGGGTGAAAATGCGAGTTGGCAAATCGATGACCTGACACAAAAATATGAAATTGATTGAGAGACGCGGTCAGGCTCATTTATGTGCCGTCCTCGTGGATAGAGGCCTCAGGATGATCTATATCAGTGACATGACATATTCGCGGACTCAGTAGCGTTTCTGAATTGTTTTTTTTTTCAACTTAGGTGTCAGGTAAATTTCACTCCTTATTTTCCCAACTCTTTTCCTTTGTGTTCAGAGCACACTCCACCTTAGTTTGCTTCCTACTGTCAGTTACCGTGAGTCTGGCGACGAGAGTCGTGACAGCTGTGTCCACAGCAATTCGGTGCCCAGATCACAGTAACTCAATCCGACCATCAGTGATAGTGGCTACAGAATAAAGGCTGGTGTACTCTTCCTCAGAATGTACCAAGGGAAGTAAAACAGAACACTTACACAATTTACTGTCTATTTCATCTTTGCTTCCGGAATCAATGGCCAATGGATGCACCTTTCCATGTAGCCATTTGTAGAATTCGTTGTACCAATTTTTCAACAAACTGCTTGGTGTGACAATGACCACTTTGTCTACCGTCGGCTTGGCTTCTGGACCCTGACGCTGTGCACACACACAAAAACAGGGAAACGTGGAATAGAGGTATCGAGGCGGTGAGGAAAAGAACAGAGCGCATAATCGCCCCTATGGTTGTTGGGAATGGTCAAGAGCGGAGGGAAACGGAACACTAAAACGTACCAAAAGAGTCCAGACAAGTGTGATGCACTGAAGGGTTTTACCCAGTCCCATTTCGTCAGCCATGATGCATCCGAAATTGCCAGGAATTTGTTGCCCAGTCACGCAATCGTACATAAACTTGACACCCTGAATGGAAGGCACGAAGTACGAAATTGGAGCCAAGGAGGCAAGCTGCACACTACGAAAAAATAATAATACAGATAAGAAAGGAGTGATCAAGCAAATATTTGGTGTTATTAGTACCATTTCACGGAAGATTTCGTACTCTCTTCTGTACCATCCAGACAGAGATGCCACAGCTACAAATCAATAAAAGGACGCAGACTAAAAGCTGAAGCTTTTATGTCACCGAACCGTGGACGAGGATAGTCACTACGATCATTGACAAATCCCAGGCTTATTTGTAAGACTAGTTGCGCTTATGGATTTCGACATGCTATCTCTGTCTGATAAGCGTAAGCAAGTACGACGTGGGGTAACGTCTGACATCTTTCTGTTTCGGAAACCATCACAATGAGCGAGGTTATAGCAGTTCACTTCAACGTTCATCGAGATTCAGACTGAGATTGCGTGTCATCATCAATTTACACAAAGTGAGCTTCAACTGAAGGGAGTGGCTAGATGTGGCAAAAAACGATGCTGACTCCGAAGAGTGATGAGATGCATCAAACGTAGGTCAAAACATTGTCCAGATGGCTACACAAAATTGGGCACTCCGAATGACCCCAGGGGAAAACACTACCGAGGATATCTGTGCTTGGCAAACGAGATACCGGAATCAAGTGAGATATGGTAATAGGGCGGATGGCCATAGATGTTCCGGAGAGATGTATCAATTATCGGAGTTTAACAAGTATTAGTACACTCCGCGATCAGGCACATTGGGAATCCCAATGTACAGAGCACCAAGCGTTGCTGCAGCTTCCATGTGTGTGTCTGAGATTGGATGGATGGATGGCGGAAAGAATATCAATTTTCCTCACGTTGTCCGCTTACGTTAATATAATTTACACATAAGCGGGAGTTACTTTTTCTTGACTTTACACAACATATATGGTGTGCAGCCTGTCGCTAGATCGAGAATAGCAAAAACAACTATATTTAGTACCGCGGAGAAACTGGTTGCTGAGGGCGAGAATATTGTTGGACCAGAAGCGTTCACCTATAACTCGAGAGGTAAACACTCCTGGATCTGAGTAAGGGAAGAAGAAGCAAAGGGTTCAATAGCAAAACTTAGTCTATAAGTTTTCTAGATGGAATGAGCAGTTGGATACCCTATCGGATACGGCATCATCACGATGCAAAGTATCCAGCAGGGGAGCATGGGAGATGTTTTCTACCGACACAAAAAAATCAAGAGTACTGTAAGACAAGCATGGAGCAACTGACGCACGTACACACCTCACGTTGATGTGGGCGCAGAATCATTGACAACATAGGATCCACAACGACGTGTACCAACTGTTTCTCACTGAAAGTAGAACCATCAATTGGTCGACATTTACTTTTCACGCTTTAACACATCGTGCGCAGCGACCTCGGGAGGAGTGAACAAGACCAGAGCACCATCCTCGTAGGGATCGTGTAGAGCAACACGAGAAGTAGATCGACGTAGGCCGAGAGCTTTTGAGTCACCTGAACTGTTGCCTACAATGCGAATGTGTTAAGGTGAGGCACAAAGCTAACACTCACCCTGATAGTTTGCAATAGGAACTTTAAAAGGTCTTGCGAGGAGGCTGCGTATCAAATCCTCCTATAGTGGATAGACTAGGGATAGTAGGAGGCCTACATGAGTAGCTAGTTGATCTAGCACAGGAGTAACTGGCTTGCGAAATGGGGATTGATAGGTGGATGGGGAATAACCCAAACACACTCCGTTCGTTGTGTGTCTGGGTGCTTTGATAGGCGGACACTACTTAAATAAAAATCCGTCATCATCGAGAATTACCTCAGAGGGATGGAGAACAGTAGTGGGAGAATTATGTAATTGACTAGGAGCTAAGCTCCTGCGCTGAAACGATCAATACAACCTAAAAGCAAGAGGGAAAAGAGTACGTACCATTGAGAGCAAAAGATCGGAGCTGATTAAAACAGCGTTTCGGGGAATTATCTGGAGCGTTCCAACATAAAAGTCCCAAAGAAGATAAATTCTGGAAGTTGGGAGAATGGACTGGCAGCAAGGCGATTTGGTTCACAACAGAGATGCAAAAAGAAAGTGAACAAAGAAAACAGGCGCGGTTCTAGGGTGACTAAACTCTACATGATACAGCACAAGTAAGGATAATTCATCTAAGCAGTTAAACGAGTTCACTCAAAGTTGGTGCAGGTTGAGCCGTAGACTGCTACATTAAATGCACCATCAGAAAGCAAAGCCCGAAACGCAACGTCATCTGTCCACTGCTACCGGGCTAATTAATGATAGCGGGGAAATCCAATGAGAAAAAGCGGCTCATCCATCAGAACAAAGATGAAAGTTACTCTGGTCAATCAGTCGCGATGGTAATACACAAAAGGGTAATCCAAGCGTACAGATAAGTCTTGGGGGTAACAGATCGATGCCTGTAGCAACAAAGTTGCTGGCGTCCGTTTTCGCGTTTTCAACTCAGAAGTATCATCGTCAGTAACAATGACCCAGTAGTCAGAACTGATGCTGAATGCAGTACTAAAGGGCAGGCGGGCTACCTCAAGTGCTGGAGCAGCTTTGTGAGTAATGCGGACCCACTATAGTCGCGTCCTTCGATTCAAACAAGTGACTGTTTTGCTCGATAAAATGGTGCTTCATTAAAATAAAGGAAATCAACCGTATACCCTAGTAACTCAATTCGCATCAGTGTTGACAACGAGCGGTGTTCGCTAACGTTGTCCCGATTCCAATTAGTGCTCAATTTCGACGCAGAATTCATAATGAGCGCCCCGGAGTCACATGATGCGGACAGTGAGATCATGAGATGAGGAAAACAAGTTAAACGGAAATAGGCGAAGAAACTGGCATGTAGTGAGGCCCAAGCAACCGTTGGTAAACTATTCTGAGTGCCCTAAGCTTTGGTATGGGCTTTGTACTTCTAAAGTGCATAACACCGGTGCAGGATGTTCGACAACTAACCATAAAGCTGAGATAATTTACCAATTTCCCTGCGCTAGTAGCTTCAACAGCAAACAGTGCTGCCACTAAAAGTTCTCCACGTATTGCAAAGGCTAGGTATATCACAACGAATTAAACACGCCGGTAGCAAACCGTCTCCAAAAGAACTTGTAGAAACAGAACGACAGTGAAAGTTTGTGCCCCTCTGGTCTCAAGTGACAGCACACGTTTGAGTGCCGCTCTCTGAGGAGTATTGTCGGAGTCTATGGGCCATATGGTGTCTGGAAAGATGAAGTGCAGAGATGATCACCAGTTGATGATGGTTCAGTCAGTTCATCGGATCAATGAAAAACTGTATTAAATGCATCTGTTCGATTAGATGTAACCTAAGCTTGTTTATGACATACTGTACAAAACTGCCAGATTTAGGAAACCCTAAGGTTCGAGTGGATCAATCTCTGACTTGACAGTAGGAAATGAACAAGCTTACAACTAGCTCGGAGGTTGTCGATCCACACTGACATCCAGGCTGGAATCTACGTGATCTACATCGCGCTTGGCTCGAAGTAGTGCAAGAAGGCTCACAACCGGTGCCAGTTGCATAGCAGTTGTAGCCTCTTGGTCAGATTACCGGTTTAAAGTGTGTGTAGTGCCATGATCTGTGGAGCAAGGCTGATTATGGTACCAGTCAAGGAAAATCACAAGGATACTGTCACGCCGATTCTGAACTACCTTCGCACGACAGCCAGATGTGCCTAGCGCATAGAGGAACGCCTAGTGCGTTTAAGCTTTACATCAGGTTCCAACACAGGTCCACATTTATTCCTTAAACGATATAAAGGCAAAGACATCAATAATACGCCGGCATGCAGTACCGAGGTTGCGCTGCCGCGAGGCCATCACCGGTCGCAAGTGGGCTAAGGACACTGCGAAGGTCGTCCGGTCCCTATGTAAGCTCGAACCCGTGTCCTCAGATTACATGGCAAGCTTGTGATTCCTAAGGCTACGGGCCAGCACTCTATCGGTGTTACCGGCTTATAAGTGAAATACTGTGGGACAGTGAAGTAGCAGCATAAAGTGCTTACGCATTGTTGTTGTTGATGATGTATGGCACGATGCTCCAGCACACAGATATCCACACCGGGACCGGAGAGTTGCTATTATCCAGCAGGATTAAAAAACGTAGTACGTATTTATTTATCCCAGGTCAGTTCAAACCATATGAGTCAGAGAAGAAGGAAATCGGCAAAACCTCTGTGCTCAAAACAATTACAGTAAACATTGTACAGACCACAGGGTCAATTTAACTTGCATGGCCTACAAACGCCGTGCATCGTGTAATACGATAAGAGAATAGATGCTAATTGCTTACTTACTACTGCAGGTTTC